GAACAGGTGGACAAGATGGAGAGGGTGTGTGTATGTGTGTACATGTGTGTGCGCACGCACTCTCGTGCAGGTAGGCATTTGAGACAGGGTCTCACTGTTCCCTGACTGTCCTAGAACTTGCCATTTAGACCAGGTTGACCTCAACCTCGGATCTGCTTGCCTCTGCCTCCTGAGTGTTAGGATTAAAGATGGCCACTACCACACCCACCCCTGGCTCCATAACTTTGTGAGATTTTTTTTTCATAAAAGAAAGTACATTCTTTATTCTGAGCCAATGACTGAATTAAACAGATCCTAGGTGTAAAAGACTATTCCTCATACCTGTGAATTTTCTTTTTTCTGAAACTCACTATGTTAGTGGTTCCCAACCTTCCTAATGCTGCAACCCTTTAATACAGTTCTTCATGTTGTGGTGAACCCCAACCACAAATGTTTTTCATTGCTACTTCATAACTGTAATTCTGCTACTGTTAGTGATCATAATGTAAATATCTGTGTTTTCTGATAGTCTTGTGACTGTGAAAGGGTCATTCAACACCCCTCCCCAAAGGGGTTGCAACCCACAGGTTAACAACCACTGCAGCAGTGGTGCATGCCTTTGATCCCAGCACTTGGGAGACAGAGGCAGACACATCATAGTAAGTTCAAGGTCAGCCTGGTCTACAAAGCAAGTTCCAAAACAGCCAGGACTGCTACACAGAGAAACCCTGTCTCAAAAGACAAAATAAAACAAACAAAAAGAGCCACTGCACTATGTGACCAGGCTAGGCAAGAATTCAGAGATCTGTCTACCTCTGCCTCCCAAGTGCTGGGATTAAAGGCAAAGGCAGGTGAATGTAGGTGAGTTAGAGGCCACCCTGGTCTGCATAGAGGTTTCCAGGACAGTTAGGGCTACATAGAAAGACTGTCTCAGGGGTGGAGATGGCTCAGGGGTTAAGAGCACTGGCTGATGGTACATGCCTTTAATCCCAGCACTCAGGAGGCCAGCCTGGTCTACAAATCGAGTTCGAGGACAGCCAGGCTGTTACACAGAGAAACTTTGTCTTTTTTCTTTTTAATTTTTTAATTTAAATTAAAAACAGGGCTGGAGCAAGGCATTGGTGGCGCATGCCTTTAATCCCAGCACTTGGGAGGCAGAGGCAGGCGGATCTCTGTGAGTTCGAGGCCAGCCTGGTCTTCAGAGCGAGTGCCAGGATAGGCTCCAAAGCCACACAGAGAAACTCTGTCTCGGAAAACCAAAAAAAAAAACAAAAACAAAAAAACAAAAAACAGGGCTGGAGAGATGGCTCAGCCATTAAAGGTTAGGCTCACAACCAAAAGTATAAATTAAAGACAATCTTATTTTATATACTAATCCTCTCCTACTGTCCTCCCATTCTCCCTCCCCCATCTTCCCATTCCATGCACAGCATGCCCATCCACTCCCCAGGGAGGGTGAGGCCTCCCATGGTGGATCATCAAAGTCTGTCACATCATTTGGGGCAGGACCTAGGCCCTCCCCACCCTGTATCTAGGCTAACAGAGTATCCCTCCATAGGGAATGGGTTCCAAAAGCCCATTCATGCACTAGGGATAAATACAGGTTCCACTGCCAGCAGCCCCATAGACTGTCCAAGCCCCCCAACTGACACCCACGTTCAGGGGGGCCTGGTTCTGTCTCACGAAGGTTCCCCAGGTGTCAGTCTGGAGTCCATGAACTCCCACTTGCTCAGGTCAGCTGTCTCTGTGGGTTTCCCCAGCATGGTCTTGACCCCTTTGCTCATCATTCCTCCCTCTCTACAACTGCATTCCAGGAGTTTGGCTCAATGCTTAGCTGTGGATCTCTGTTTCTGCTTCCATTAGTTACTGGATGAACAAGGAGGACCCTAAGAGAGACATACATGGAGTCCCTGAGAAGGGGAAAGGGAGAAGATTTCCTGAGTAAATTGGGAGCATGGGGGAAAGAGGGACAGAGGAAGGAGAAAAAGGAGGGGAGAAGGGGAGGGGGGAAGGAGAACATGAGGGATCAGAAAGGTCGAGTTGGGGGGAGAACAGAGAAGGAGAGCAAGGAAAGAATTACATTAATAGAGGGAGCCATTATGGGCTTAATGAAAAACATGGCACTAGGGAAATTCCCAGGGATCCACAAGGATGACCACAACTAAGAATCTAAGCAATAGTAAGAGACTACCTTAAATACCGTTCTCTGATAATCAAATTGAAGACTGCCTTAAATGCCATGCTAGAGCCTTCATCCAGAAACCCTGTCTTGAAACAAACAAACAAAAAGAGCACTGGCTGCCCTTCTACATGACCCAGGTTCAATTCCCAGCACCCACATGGCAGCACCCAGTTTAGTCATACATATAGGCAAACACTAATGCACAAGAAATATAAATAAATTTTAATTTAAAAAAGACTCAAAATTAAATAGATAAATACAAAAAATATAATAAAAAAAAACAGAAAAGCAAAAAGCCTGACAGCCCTATACATTGGTCTGTTTTCTGTTGCTATAACAAAACTTTCCAAGGCTGACTAATCAGGAGAATAGAGGCTTTTATTTGGTTCACAGTTTTATAAGTGGACAAGCCACTCCCAATAACCCTTTAATCCATAAATGAGATTAATCCACTAATTTATGAATGAACTAATCCCTTGCCCCATCAAAAGATTAGATTAATTAATCTACGAAGGGATTAACCCATTCATAAGTCCAAAGGACCCAATCACCTCCCAAATGTCCCATCTCCAAGTCTCATTAATTTATGGACTTGGAAATTAAGTTTCCAACACGTGAACTCAGGAGACAAATTCAAGCTACCCCACAACCCAAAGCTTTTCAGCAGCTCACACTTGTACCTGTGTGAGTTGGGCTCCTAAGCCTGAGCAACTTCCCCACAACTGCTTACCCCAGGCTAAACATGCACACACCGGAAGCCTCAATCTTTTCTCCTGCCACCAACTTCCATCTCTAACCTAGTTTTGCTTAAAAAAAAAAAAAAAAATCACCTTCTACTCATCTAGCTCTTCTTGCCATGTATACAAATCTCCTTCCTCAGCTCCCACTAAGGATAAAACACCTGGCCCTGCATATGCTAGTAAGCACCCTACCACTGAATCATACCTTAGTCTCATAAATCTCCCTTTACTTTATACTACAGTGTACCCAAATGACCAGTACTGGCAGCCTGAACAAGATGATCCGTCCAGTCAAGGAAATACTTGCTGCTGGGTGGTTGTGGCAGTAGTGCCACACACCTTTAATCCCAGCTCTCTGGAGGCAGAGGCAGGTGGATCTCTGTGAATTCCAGGCCAACCTGGTCTACAGAGTGAGTTCCAGGACAGTCTCTAAAACTACACAGAGAAACCCTATCCCAAAAAAATAAAAATAAAAATTAAGAAAGCACTTGTCAAACTAAATTTGGACCTCAGCACCTGCAATCCCAGACCTAGGGAGGCAGACTCAGGAGGATCCCTGAGGCTTGTTAGTCAGATAGGTCTCATTAGAATCAGTGAGCTCCAGATTCATTGGGAGACTGCCTCAAAAATGTAAGGCAGAGAGCAACTTCAGAAGACTGGCATGAACATATAGTCTAGACTTAGCCCCACCCACATACACACACTTATGCACACATGTGCACACACACACTTAAAAATAAATGGACATGGAAAAGCCAAGGGGCCTAGAGAAGGTGGTCTCTTGACTCAGATAACTCCCCCATTTCTTTACAAGGGGTAAAAGCTCTTTGAGGGCAGGGAGGGGTGGTGAGCAAAGAAATAGAAACTTTGGCCATTTGTTGGTGGCTCATGTCTTGAATCCCAGAACTCCTGGGAGGCAAAGGCAGGAAGATCTCTGTGAGTTTGAGGCCAGCCTGGTCTACAGAGTGAGTTGTAGGACAGGCTCCAAAACTACACAGAGAAACCCTGTCTCAAAAATCAAACAGACAAAAAAAGAAACAAAGAAAGGAAGAAAGAAAGAAGGAAGGAAGGAAGGAAAGGAGGAAAGAAAGGAAGAAAGAAAGAAAGAAAGAAAGAAAGAAAGAAAGAAAGAAAGAAACTCGGTGCCTCAAGGATAGAAGGTAGGAGGAGCAAATCAAAGCTCTTCCAAGTAGACTGAGGTAGAGGACCCAATGTAAAGCAAAGTAAAAGCAGTTGCTAAGGAAGTCAGCGGAGTTCTTAGGTTTCTTGTGCAGGTTTTGATTTGTTTTCATATTTTGAGATGGGGTCTCACTGCAGTCCTCCAACCCCACTTCACAGGTTTTAAGGATTTCTATTAAGTAAACTTAGTGGTTTTGCAATAGAGTGTCAAGGTTTACACCATCGGAAGGTTCCTGACTTGACAAGGATCCTTATTCTGCAGTCCCAGGAGCTCAACCCTTCAGAATCCCAGTCCTGGCTGTCTCGGCCTATCCTACTATGACTACAGTGTCTGATGTCTTAGAAGCCACCTGGGAGAGGGTCTGTGCTTGCATCAAGAGATATGATTTTGGCAACTCACTTAAGAACCATAACATATATAATGCTTCAATAGGAAAATATAGATTTTTTTCCTAAACAAATTGATTATCATACAGAAACTGCCTCAAACTCAACAGGCTTTATTTCCACAATACTTAGCAATGATGCAATGTTCAAATGAATTCTTAGAAATAACTGAGTTTTCTATGCTTGAAAATATTTCCCAGCACTTAACTCAGGTAATGGGGGTGGGGAATTAATGGCTCTCCCCTACACTATTGACACCCAAAGTGTGGTCCACAGACTCGTTGCATGTGCGTCATTTGGGAGCTTACCAAATCATACGTGCTTTTTTGAAAAACAAGATGCCCCAGGTAAAACTGATGCACGTTAGGAGTGTGGGAACAGTGCCTCAGAAGTTTGCTACTTACAAACGCACTTTGCACGCCAGCGTGGCAGCACACAGGGCGCACACTCCTGCACAGAGCCACGGTGCGGTCCAGATACCTGCAAAGCCCTCCGCAGTGACAGCCCCCAACCCACCCCCGCCATCGGCTCACCTTGATGCGCTCGCCATCGATCTCCACGGCTCGCTCTCGGAAGTCCACCCCGATCGTGGCCTCGGTGCGGTCGGGGAAGCGGCCGGCGCAGAAGCGGTAAGTCAGGCATGTCTTGCCCACGTTCGAGTCTCCTATCACGATGATCTTGAAGATGCGGGAGCGGGCGGGAGGCAGACACCCGGACGCCCCTGACACCGCACAGCTGGACGAGAAGCTGACCTCCAGAGACGACTCCATCTCCGAAGCCATCCTCCCGACTCTCTCCGAGCTGATGCGGAGGAGAAAAGCCTCGGGAATGGCGCCTCCTCCGCGACAGGGTTCCCGGGC